GCTGTATTTAATATTAAAGGTTTTGATAGAATGAGAACACTTAAATATAGGCTAACTAATTAGTGGTGCTAGATTACAGTTCCAAGATTAAGTCGCTAGTACATCTAGATCTAACATTAATGTTAGACCTGTTAATGACAGAAATTTAGCTTTATACATCTAAACTAGACATTAGATTTGGGTGCATAGATTGAAAGCACCTTGTATTGAATCTACTCAGATCTAGATATAACCCTGCTTCATCAATTCTAGATTTAGATTTATTAACAAGATCTAGATCTATTAAACATTATAGGCCCAATGTAGTGGTTAGTAATTGTATTGGCTGATTGTAAATCATGTCTTACACCAACTAATGTACTAGACTTTAGGTCTAATTGCAGTTATAACTTTATTTCTAGACCCTAGGTCCATCATCATACAAATTGTAGCCTATATTATAGGCATACTTATACCTATACTAACTATTAAACTAGGCATTGCATTGGGACAGATCTAATGACTAAGTTAATAGATCTAGATGTAACATTTGTTCTAAAAGTTAGGCCCTTGTTGCATATATTGCCAATCTTGCACACCATTTAATATGTTACATCAATCTCGTATTTTCTTTTTGTTGAACATACACTTACTTGTACTTTGTACTCTAGGACTTGTATTTGATCTACAGATGAATGATGGAATAGTGTAATTTACTTCTGTATGCAAATTCGGTCTCACTGTATTTCAGTGGGCAGCTTTTAAAAGTTAAAACTGCAAGCGTAATACACACAAATAACGTAACACTGTGTCGTATTTATTTATCGTAAGGCAGTTGCGTTATATCCTAGGGGAGGGCATAATTATTAATTAATAGGCATTATAGGCCAGAGTAAATTTTGCCCCCTTCACACCTGCTCCCGGGGGCGACTGCCCCTTACCCCTCTTGCTACGCTACTGCATAAAGTTCAACCCCACATTTCTCAGCGTAGCAGGTTCGCCCTATTTTTCTATACATAAAGTTAAAAACCCCATTTCTAAAACATGAAATTTCAACCCCATGTTTCAAGACATAATAGTTGAGACCCAAATTTCAAGACATAGTAATTCAACCCCATATTTCTAAACAGAAGTTAAACTCTCATTTCTAAATATAATATTTCCACCCGACATTTCGAGACATAGTTATTTCATATTTTGAAAAAAGTAGTTCCGCCCTTCTATAAATAAAGTTCAACCCCACATTTCTAAACATAGTAGTTCAGCTTCATATTATAAACGTACTAATTTACCCCAAACTTCTAGACGTAGTGTTCCAGTTCCACATTTTCAGACATATAAGTGGTTCAACCAATGTTTATAGACATAGTTTTCAGTACCACATTTAAATTTAAAACACCAAGTAACAATAACATTCAGTTTTTGTACGAAAAACGTTTTAATTCGGATAGAAGATGTTTAAAGTTTTTAACAGTTTGAGAAAAATCGTTAACCACAAAAGTAAATTTTACACTTTTTTTTTTTTTACACAATGCGTGATATACAAGTTATTTTATTCTGTTGTGAGAGCTGGTGGTAAGGCCGCTCGACTCACAATCTGCTGTTTGCGGGATCAAACCCCGTTGCCAGAGATATTCGCTCTTTCACCCATTGAGACCAAGAGTTGGTGGTGAGTGCTGCCTTCCCTCTATTCTCTCAGATCAAAAGTAGGGCAAACTATCACAGGTATCCCCTGTGTAGCTTTGCGTGGATATCCAAAAATAACCAACCTACAAAGAATGAAGCTACCCAATTTAATTTTCAATGTAATCTGCTTACTACATCTTTTGTCTTGCTGGTGTATTTATTTATCAAATTAAAGCCCCCCCAGCCTATAACACTAAAAACTAGGTTTCGATACCCGTGATGGGCACAGCACATATAGCCCATTAGCTTTGCGCTTAACAACATACAAACAAAATTAAAGTTTATTTATAATAGATGAAATAAACGAACAATTTAAATCTCCTGAGCTAGCCAAACATTTTGAGACATTACTAAGATAACGATTGAAAATATTAGGATTATCCCCTAAAGCGAAACAACTTTAGGTATCATCTACTATGGACAGTCTCCACTGGTCCTCGAAATTTAATTTCTAACGTTCGTATTTATATTCTCCACATTTCGTGGGGTGGAACTTATTTATTCCATTATAGGAAAATCCCACAACCAAAACTTTCAGGTTCCACGATCGAGAATCTCGCCATCAGAAAATGAGCGTCAATTTTCTCTGTAATTAACATTGTCTTTTGACCAAAGTATAACAGCTACATGATCCTGTACACTGTTACGCGTTTATTCAAGCCAACAATCCCGAATTTTTGAAAGGGGGGAAAAAAAGCAATGCTTGTTAGCAGGATATCAAGTAATATATGTATGAAATATGATACGATTCTGAAATACCCTGTGCCATGTCCAAATTATCACGAATTCTCGGTGTACTGTTCTTGAAGTTTTATTTTCCTAAGACAAATACTTCTGAAGATGTAATCATTTTGAATGTCAGTTTTCTTTAAAATAACTTTTGTTTTGGACGGGGATAAACACTTTTTTTTTCTTTCGAGATCGTTATTAATAATAATGTTGCTGTTGTTTTCTTGGCGCAGATAAGTTTACGAACTTACAGCGCTAAAATCTAGAGTTCGATTCCCTGCGGTGAACAGAGCGCAGCTAGCTTATCGTGTAACTTTGCACTAAAAGAACAAAGAAATGAAAATAATGGTATAGATACGTCATTGTGAGTGCACAAACATTTAGATACATTTTCGTGTTTTATGCTCAAATCTAGAATAAATCTATTATGTCATACAAGTTTCTTTGCAGTGAGGTTGGAGTATTTTGAAACCATGTATGTTATTAGTGTGTAGCTCAATGTGGTACAAGCACCTCTAATGTCGACACCCACTCTTTCGGAAGAATTGTGAGAGACTGGTTGAATATCAATAGTTTGATTAAAGTTTGACAATCCATTACAGAGCTGCCAATGTCCTAGCTGTGAATACATGTGTAAATGTTATCTCCAGGACAATAAGAAACACATTAGCACGATGTGTAGCTTAGGAGAGATAACAAAACTCTGTAGTGTCTATCAGAGTTCAAATAATGAGATGAAAAAAGCTGGAGGAGAGAGAGAGAGAGAGTGCTCTTTACAGATGAATTCATATTGTTTGGCAACACTCAACCAAAGTTTTGTCAATGGCTGAGAGAACAGCAGTATAAACGTACAAGATCTATAGTGAAGTGTGGTGGAGGACCGATACAGCTGTGGGCTGCATCTCTCGGCCAGTGGTATTGGAAATGTACTCAAATTTAATGATACCACAACTGCTTACAGGTAAAAGCAGATTTTTATCCAGTATGTCATTCCCAGGGGAACAACGGCTGTTGGGTGGGGATTAATTTTCCAATAAGACAATAATCTCAACAAGCAGAAAATGTAGTGGGAGAAAAAAAAAAGAGGCCGATGGCTATTGCCCAATGTGTGAAAATACGTTTTATTTCATAATCTGAATCATACGCAGACAGACATTGTTTCTGGTTATCCTCTATGTATCAGTACAAGAAACCAATACATATATATTTCAGATAAACATTTCTAATTAAGATAGCTTTAAAGAAAGTTTAACATATTTACTAATATCATTTCTAAACTGTTTTTTCGAGGAAATCATATCTTAATTACTATGTTTTAGTCAATAAGGTTTAGGCTATCGGATGTAGGTGAACTAGTTTTTAGCGCGTACGAACTGTGAATGCGAGGGTTCATGCTTCGCGTCGCATTGCCGAAAAGCGTGCTACTCATTTTGAGGCCGCGGGTGCACTGTTAGTGTCGGCCAAGTCTCAATATTCGGCCACACAGGAGTAGCCAAAGAGTTGGAGATGGGTGTTCTTGACTAGCTGCCTTCCTTCTAATCTGTTAGTTCAAAATTAGGACGGCTATGCGTAGATTGTCCATGTGTAGCTTGGCACGAAAATTATAAAATAATCAATCAATTATATAAGTAGAATTTAAGGCCAACAAAGGATCTGTTGGTCCATATAGGTCATCCCATCCACTAAGCTAAACTTTAAAAATAAAACATTCAAAGTCAGCCCTTATCACTCAAATTAAATGCCTCTACCACGTCAGAAGGCAACCCATTCCATAGGCCAAACACCCTTTTAAAAATAAAGCTGTCTTAGCCGAAGATGACTACTATTCTACCAGAATTTATATTTGTGTCCCCTAGTCTGACCACTAATTACGAGAATACACTGCATCAATACTATCAATTACCTTTACAATCTTAACCATCTCAATCAATTCCCCTTTAATTCTTCTTTTTTCAAGAGAAATTTTCAGAGATCTTAACTTGTCATCGTATGACAAGCTTTCCATCCCAAGTATCATCCAAGTAGCCCCCCCTCCCTCTGAACTCTTTCCAACAATTCAATGTCCTACCTTAGGTAAGGCACCCAAGGCTGAAGAAAACACTCCAAACGTAGCCTAACCAATGACCTATACAATGAATTTATAACTTCTTTAGACTTGCATTCAGTATTTCTGTAAATACAACTTAAAATACTATTTGTCCTATCACAAGCAATAGCACATTGTTTGGATGACTTAAAATACTGATCAGCTTTAACACTAAGATCCTTTTCTATATAGAAGTTAGAAGAGTATTGCATATATCACGTGACATTAGCTGCCCAATCAGGTTATTGGTAAAGAATATCATCCACAACAATTAGGTGAGAAGTCTAATTGGTTTTAATCATATACTCACCTTTATACCTGTTTGTTACTGTAAGGAGTTTCAGGTGTGTTGTTTTTTTGTCACCTTATAAGAAATTTAGTTGATTCTCATGGTAGTTGTTTTTTTAGAACAATGCGTTTGTTGAATGTTTACCTAATGCCTTTGAATGATTATTTTAACTGAAACTATAGCTCGTCTAAAAGGAACATGTACACTAATTTCTTGTTCACTTTCTCATAGGCGGAGCTAAGTTCACAAGGAGATGACTTTACCCGCCAGATGTGGCATATGTATGCCGCGTTTGAAGAGTTGGTGGGAGACCATTTAGATCCTCACACTCAGAGATCACGTTGTAAGGAAAACCTAAGTGACGACGAGGAGAGTAAGCGATTGTTTCTTCCTCACACCTATGTCGACAAGACAACGGTCACTCAAATCAGCACAGAAAGAATAGTTTCTCGAGGATCGTCTCTTCCCGACGTCCGACTGGACTACACCCCCACCAAACAATCCCACCGTGTGTCATCTATTTACGGGTCCCCCGGAGTCAGGCGGAAGAGGATGAGTGAAAGTAATAATCATTCTCAAAGACAGAGCCATCTTCAACATCATCGCAGTCGATCAGAGCCTTCAGCCAATCCGTTGCTTGATACTATTAGTGTACTGACGTATGATCCATGTGATTCAGATGACTACTACGATTTGGCTACCGTGTATCAGCAACGCCGACTCACAGTCAAGGAAAAAGGAGAAGAAAAGACAAGAAGATCTCCATCTACTCATCATCACGGTGACGGAGACAAGGACTCTATTGGATACGCCGGCTCAAATTCTATTGATAGCGGATATAAAAGTCTTTGCCCAACACCGGAGATCTCGGAAAGCTTTTATTACGGGCAAGAAGGAAAAATCATTGGATCATCTGGGTCCAGTAGAAGAGGAACGTCTTCAGATGCATCAAGTACTAGTTCTTCTCCTAGCAAAAACAAAGATAGTGTCAAACCGAAAATCATGATGGGAACAAAAGTGATGGGAAGACAGTGCCAAAGACTTCAAATCGGGCATTCCATTGGCTCGCGGCGATCAGAATCGGCTCTGTATGACGTGAATCTAGATCATCTCATGTATTTACGACAATCCTTACTTAGTGCCATCCAGAAATGTGAGTCAGTGTCGTCTTCGTCTAGAGATAGTAGCCCAACAGTTACCAATCGCTCCTGTGGCTCTCCTGCAAAACTCGGTGGTAGTAACAGCCATAGCCCTAAACATCAGCGATCACCCCAGCTGGATAGGAGGAGGACGAGTCCTCAAACACTAGGGGTCACTGAACACAAATATCCACAGCACGAGCTACCAGGAAATGTCACTTCAACAATGTCGTCATCTTCTGGGTCTCAGTACCACAAAACAGTGCGGTTTGATACTGATGTCAAAGTTACTAAGAAACAAGCTGCTATGGCCAGTCCGCGTATCACCAACAAACATTCCAAGTCAATATTGAAAGATTCCTTATGTGCTAGTCTGAGATCAAATTTCGAGTCGGGTTCGACTCTCACTCCGGACTGTACGCTAGAGGAGGAAATCGACGCTCTACTTTATGGAAAGGCGGAATACTACGACATGGAAAGCGTGGACGATTTTCCTTGTAGCTATGTGACCATGATTGAAGAAAAGTACCGGTGTGGAAAAACCAGTGTAGCGAAGGTGAAAAAGTTGAAAGGTAAGCTTTTTTTTTATGCCTCATTATCTCAGGTTTCTCAAAACTTAAAATGGCGACAGTCGTAAGTAGAAAGCAAATCGTCACATATTCTGTTAGTGTTAAGAGAACAGTTGTTTTCCAGACGACACAGTCAACGTTTTCCACAGACACTATCAACCCAACCTACTGAAGCCATTATTAGAGTTTCTGATTGAAAGTAATGCGTCTTTGAAGAGCACTTCAAGTCAAATAATCGAATATCCAATATTGTGTAGGAATCCCTTTAGTAAGGGAACGAGCTTCTATGTTAGAGTTATTCTAATGAATTAAGTATGAATTACAATTCTATAGTCTTAAAGCCTTGATTTCTTTTGAGGCACGTTATTTATTTAGGGTTATTTAGTTTGCTTCACAGAAGAATCTACTTCATAAATTATTTGTGGAATATTAGTTTAATTATTCATTTAATGTTAAATAGCATACAAACTAAGTTTAGGAATATCTTTCATAAAAGCATGCCCAAGTTTGTTTTTATTTGCACTTGACATTAATCCTGTCGTTTCTTAAATACGAGTCCCGGCATGGCCAGGTTGTTAGGGCACTCGACTCGCAATCTGAGGGTCGCGGGTTCGAATCTCCGTCCCACCAAACATGCTCGCCCTTTCAGCCGTGGGGGGCGTTATAATGTGACGGTCAATCCCACTATTCGTTGGTAAAAGATTAGTTCAAGAGATGGCGGTGGGTGGTGATGAGTAGCTGCCTTCCCTCTAGTCTTATACTGCTAAATTAGGGACGGCTAGTGCAGATAGCCCTCGTGTAGCTTTGCGCGAAATTCAAAACAAACAAATCTTAAATGCGAATTGAAAAAAAACATTTGGCTTTTCTAGAACAGTTCAACCGAAACAATGCTTTTGTATTTTATGTGTGTGTTTATGAAAACATGTAATTGATTTTCCTGATTTTAATAAAGGACGGTCAAATTGCAAAATAATTTCAATCAATATTTAGTTGAGTATCATGCATCGTAATAATTTCAAACAATATTTAGTTGAGTATCATTGTTTGAAATTATTACGATGCATGATACTCAACTAAATACTGTTTGAAATTATTACGATGCATATTTAGTTGAGTATCATGCATCGTAATGATTTCAAACAATATTCAGTTAAGTATCATTCATTGTAATACTACTTAGTTGAGTATAATACATCATAACAACACTGTTTACACTTGAGTGGAAGATATACTAATGTTTCCACTGGATCTTGTAAGGCCTCTTATTTTCTAGAAAACTGAATGTATACTGTTCCGGATAGCACTTTTTTGTTGTTAATAAAGAACAACATCGCTAGATTGTTAGTTAAAAAAATAAAACGATTACTGATTTTACTTGTGAAAATATAAACAACTCACGATAATTTGCATGCACATGATAATTAATCCTTTAATATCTACTAAATACACAACTGATTAAAATTATGGATATTGTTCGATCTTGGTAGTTTAAGCTATCTACATCAATGGATTAAGCCTGTGTATCTTGGAAATATCGGTTTTCTAGTATAACGGGAATAATAAAACACATGGCACTTTCTAACCGTATCAACATGTTGATGACACTCATAGAGATAGATGCGAAACTTCAAACGGTCATCATCCTCAAAGGAATGTTAGGCTTTGCTCTAGTAGGTAGGAGTTAGGCAGATATCTGGTGAGGAATTGTTAGTTCGGTAGGATTGGGGTTGAAGCCATTCGTAATTATTAGTGTGTGCTTGTCTCCTCTCCTCCCCATCTATTTATCTTCCAAGTGAACGGACGACACTAAGATGTTGATGTTTGCGAATGGTATGGCTTCCTTGGGCGAGATGCATGTACAAAAAAAAAACAGTGTGGACAAAAACAAAATAAAAACAAAGCTATGTCAGGTTTCTGCTGGTCCCTATAATTTAGAGTGATACCTGCCATCATAGAGTAGTAGACGAGTACACCTTCCCGTGAAGGCGCGAGGAACAGTAGCACGTGGCCCCTCCCTGCCCCCTATCACGTGACGTGTTCCACACGCAACCTCTTACGTCCCAGACCTTGATCATTATCTGTACGTGCGCGCGAGGAATTTTAAGTAGTGAGGTCTTCAAAGCAACGACGTGATACTAGTAGACCGTCGACGACGTCAGCAAATTTCTTTTAATCTCTTCTCTGGTTCTCATTATTTAGAACAACACAGTAAGCCTATCATTTATTGGATAACGTTAAATTATCTCGTTAGATATGGAGTGGGTAATTTGGCTTCCTGAAAAACGGACATTTCTCAACTTTTAATAAGAATTAGGAACAATCTTTTGTTGAACATTGCACGTAAAAAGCTTCAATTGTAGCATACAAATAATTAATTTAAATAAACAAAGACGTGGAGTTACGGTTCTCGTAATTATTGTCGAATTAAGGTAACACATTTCTGGTGTGTATCAACTATTTAGATCCAGGTTTTTTAACTTTTTTTTGGTGGTATTGATGTTGTTGCTGTTGTTGATTTTGTTGATGCGTAAAAAAATATTATGCTTCACAGTGACTTTAAATATAAGAATTTAGGCCAAACTGAAGAAGCAATTCGCACACCATTCTTTTATCATAAATTGATTTCAACAACTAAAGTGGACCAAAATATAAAATATTGCTAATAGGGCTAAATTGTGAACACAATATCTTCTGTTCAGTTGGTTGGGAAAAACCTTTCGGTGGATGGAGTATATAAACGACTGACATTAAACTTTACAACACGAGTAGAAATTCAATTTGTTTTAGGGTAGTCTTAATAGTGGTGTGTTACAGGGGAATCAACGTTTCGGGGTTTGTTCTCGTCAGAAATACTGATAGATTTTTTTTGGCCCTTGGGGTGATTTATGTTCTAGTCATTAGCTGCAAGTATGATTAATATTAACAGGTACAGATGTTGTTTAAAGCGCCAGAAGGCTACAATTATGGGGTACAGGCCTTTTCCTAATTCCTGAATATTTACTTTAGGTTGATGGAGCAACTCTATTAAACTACTACATTTGAAACTGTTTTTTGTTTTTGAATATGAAATGACTTTTCTTGTTTTTTAAGGGATACTCATAAGATCCGTTTTACCATTGTAAATGCGCCTATTCTCAACGGGATTACATCCCATGGGCTAAACGGTCAGGTCAGAGACCCCAAGGTTGAGGCATAACCATCCTTAATTTGATACTACTGTCCTGAGGGTGGTCAACCGGCCAGTAGCACTCGTAGCCTACACGACTACTCGTAATCGAATAGCGGAATTAGCTGTCACTTTCTAATGCGCCCACAGCTGAAAGTGCAGCGCACGTTTAGCAGTATATCGTGGACTCGAACCTTAGTATACATACATACATACATATATATGTTGACAGTTCGTATTATGATTTCCCCCTAAAAATCAACTATGCACATGTTCACCAAACGGAATGTATTTCTAATAAAGCTTACTCATCGTATTGTTCTACTTCTTATATACACCTTCATTATTGTAATGGGCCGGGTGATTGATGTACCTAGTCTTCATATCGGAAGGTTGTATGTTTCGACTTGTTCAACACTTGAAAAAGTAAGTGAAAATTCAATTTGAAGTTATATGTTTAGTGACTGAGGCCACAGGACTGGTAATAGCTGACAGAGGACTGATGACTGGGAGAATATGTTTATCAAAACTGGTTGGTAAGATATGACAAATAATTGTCCGAATGCAGGTGTCATCTGGTAATTGGTGGCACATGTGTCGAAAATATTGGCATGGTTATCAGAAAAAAGAATTTACCTATGTCACGTATACTAATGACAAGTGTTGTGACTGATAAACATGACATGATCAATCACATCTGGCAATTTTTGATATGCAAGTTTATGACGGAATATGCAAACCCATTAAATATGTTGGGAACACTACTATATATATTTCTTATGGGTTTTTTTCTATTAAAAAAATTGTTGAATGTAATGAGTCACAGTTATACATGTTAAACTTTTGAATTTATAGATGTACGTTTGTGACGGGTAATTGCTGTTTACTCACTTACTTTGGTATACCTTAACAGACTGGTCATCCTTGGTATTTAGCACTTGTTGGCAGTTAGTACGGGCTTTAAAAATGTAAAATAAGCGTGTATCGTGGCTGGTAATTTTTTCTGTGTCTGATTTCGGGAAGATGGTGTTAAAACTAGCATCTTACAAGCTACGTGTTCATATTTGCGTGAATGACTTTATTAAAACATAGCGCATAATGATTTAATATATATTTAAACTACGAGTTCATATTTACCTGAATGATTTTCTTAAAACATAGCGCATAATGATTTAATGTGTATTTAATCTACGTGTTCATATTTGTATGAATGATTTTATTAAAACATAGCGCATAATGATTTCATGCATATTTACAGAATATTTGCATACATATGTAACGTGTTGACAAAGGCCTCGTAAATGGTGGATTATTTCGGTACTTATATGGTAGTTACTAATATCTGACTGGTAATTGGATCCACGGTACTAGTATGGTAGTTACTAATATCTGACTGGTAATTGGATCCACGGTACTAGTATGATAGACTGTTAATTGGAACCACACCTCTACTGATCTCCCCAGATTGCTACATAAATAATTTTTTTAACCCCACACTTTTCTTGGGAATTGAGAGGTCTAACACTATTCACCCCCCCCCCCCTGAACAAGTTCAATTTCTAATTTAATTTACATCCTACGGTTGAAACTAACCAGTTTACGCTGAAATATTTTATATCTTACGGTTGAAACTAACCAATTTACATTGAACTATTTTATATCTTACGGTTGAAAACTAACCAATTTACACTGATCTATTTTATATCTTACGGTTGAAACTAACCAATTTACATTGAACTATTTTATATCTTACGGTTAAAACTAACCAATTTACATTGAACTATTTTATATCTTACGGTTGAAACTAACCAATTTACATTGAACTATTTTATATCTT